GGGTTTGAACCACCAGCCTTCTGGTTAGCAGTCAAGTGCCTTAGCCACTATGCTACCAGAGCTCCCTTTTGGTTATTAGCAGTTGAATATTTTAACCACTGTGCCACCCAGGGCTTCTTGTCTCAGAAAGCCCCTGGTATGCACTGCTGGGAGAGCAGCAAGGGAAACCATTATCATTCATGTATTAGCCAAGATTATGGTCCTAAGGAAGGTTAGGGACATGGGGAGAGGTCCCCAAGCAAATTGGAGTAGGGACCACTGTTCCAGAAAGCAGGTCCAGGCCGGAGCTGGAGGGTGCTAGGGCGTGCAGAGGCATGTTACAAGGCTGAACAACAGTAATCTGACCTATTTTATTCGCTAAGTCAGATTTTATGGGACCTTACTAAGTTAAGTTATAGGAGCTCTGGTGGCACTGTGGTTAAGGCTGCTAACCAAGAGGTAGATAGTTCAAACCTACCAGCCACTCCATGAGAGGAAGATGAGGCAGTCTATTCCTATATAGATTTATAGCCTTGAAAACCCAATGGAAGTCGCTACAAGTAGGAATCAACTTGAGGGTAGTGGGTTTGGGAAGTTAGATTCAGGGTCAGCGTGGAAGCGAGGAAGGAGCTCTTGTGGCACAGTGGCCAAGGCATTTGACTGCTAACAAGAAGGTTGGCGGTTCAAACCCACCAGCCACTCCGCAGAAGTAAGATGGGCCAATCTACTTCCATAAAGATTTACCACCTTGGAAACCCATTGGGGGTTGCTATGAGTTGGAATCAACTTGATGGCAGTGAGGGTTTTTTTTTTTTTTTTTTTTTACTTGGTATAGAAGCAATGAAGGAGCTCTGGTCATATAGTGGTTAAGGCATTTGGCTGCAAACCAAAAGGTCAGTGGTTTCAACCCACCAGCCACTCCACAGAAGAAAGATGGGGTGGTCTGCTTCTATAAAGATTTCTGGCTTCGAAACCCAATGGGGATAGCTGTGAGTCGGAATTGACTCAATGACAGTGAGTTTTTGTTTCTTTTTTTCTTTCTTTTTTAATAGAAGCAAGGAAGTGGAAGCAGGCCACTGAGGGGCAGCTTAGATGAATCAAGAGCAAAAGCCCTTCAAGCCAAGTTGCAAGTGGCATGGGTCCCAAGACCCAAAGAAAGGGCAGCTCTGTCCCCTGCTCTTCACCCTCCCATTTCCCCGGGACGCCCCTCTACTATCACCAGAGTTTCTCTTCCAGAGTAGTTGAGTTTGGACCCTGAGGACCCCTAAAACTTCTTTATGCTTTCTAGGGCTGTGGTGAGGGCGCAGAAATGAGCTGAATCCCCAGGAGCAAGAACATTTGCTTAACCCCTAGTGGGCTCTCCAGAGGGCAGTGTCCTTTGGCGGAAAGAGTATTCTGGGAAGAGTTCTAATTCCAACTTTGCCACTAACTACTTTTGAGGTCTTGGAGAGATCACATCCTTTCTCTTGGGCCTCTTCTGAAAAGTGATCAGTAAATATAGGTGGTCGCTCAAGCCACCACTGTGATTTAGGTCTCTGGTTAACAGACTAGGTAAGAGGAGAGTATCACCTGTGGGCAGGTTCTGAAAGCTGGTTAGTATGTGGTCAGATGGGGTTCTTGCAGCGTTTGGTGATACCTCTAATACAGCAGGGCTGGGGGGCGGGTAGTATGGCATCATGGTTAAGAATATGGGCTTTGGTATTGGTCCATCCCACGTTCAAATCCTGATTCCATAATTTACCAGCTGTGTTACTTTGGGCAAGTCGCTTTTCTGGGTTTCAGTTTTGTTTTCTTCATAATGGGATTCAGAACAGTTACTTACATTTTAGGGCTGTGGGTAAGGTAGTACTTTTAGAATAGTGAATGCTTGCTCAGTATTTAACAATTGTTATTAATGGTAGCATCATTAATAAGATGAATAAGAATGGAGTTGAATGCTAATGTTTTCTTCCAGCCACACTTCCGAAAAGCGCAAGCCTTAGCCACCCTAGGCAAGGTGGAAGAAGCACTAAGGGAGTTTCTATATTGTGTGCATCTCAATGAAAATAACAAGAAGGCAAGATCTGAAGCCCAAAGGGTGAGTTGAAGTGACATCAAGGTCTGACTGCCTGATGGGTTCCCGGTCTTCTCCAGGGAGGGTAGTGAGGGCATTGCCCTCCCTGGCATTTGGGGTTCTGAGAGGGTGGCCCCTGGGTTAAGGGGACAGGAGGGAGACATGAGTGCCAGTTGATTTCCCAGAAACACCCTCCTCCTGGCCTATACAATCAGATTGGGCAGTTCCTGCATTTTTGTAGGAACGTGTGAGGGATGTTCTACCTTCTTTGACTCAGGGTCTGGGTTGTTAGTCAGATTAAAAATCAAACTAAACCAAACCAAATGAGTTAACATGGGGATTGAAACTTACTAAGGAGATTCTGACTGTTGAGAGATCTGGGGTGTGGAGCTACCTGCAATTGTATAACTTTTTTTTTTTTTTTTTTTTTTTGGCTGAGTCACAACTTCACCTGCCAAACAGGAAAGCCAGCTCAGGGGACAAGACCTTGGTCTGCATTTCCTCTGCCATACACAGAACTTCAACCTTCATCTCCTTTGCTAGAAATCAAACACATAACGTTGTCTCACACATGCTAGTCAGAGACCTTTACAATATGATCCAAACAGTCATTCCTACTCTTGGTGCAAGTGAAATAATGGTTGTTAGAAAAAAAATTTAAATATTGAGAGCATTAGGGAAGACTAAAGCACCCATAGGAGCTCTGGTAGTGTAGTGCCTAAGGCACTTAACT